GAGGTCCAATTGTTCTTAAGAAACCAAAACTAAATTTGCTATATCTTCCTTAATTATAGGAATTTTTCAATGCAGTAAAAACCTAATTGTAATATTTGATAAGGCCTGTCTGAAAATAGTCTTGAAATTAAAAAATATTGATATATTAAATTTTAATGGAAATTTAAATAAATATATAAATTTTAAAAACTTTTTATTTTACAAAAAATAAATTTTCATACACGTTATGACATTCAGTTTCACAACTTTAAGGCAGCAATGCTGATTAATGAATGGTCTTTAAAACAAATGGTAAATTAGGTCTGTACAACTGATAATATTAATCCCAGGGGTACTGAAGCATGATAGCTCACAGTGATTTTGACAGCAAATTGCAATGTGCATATCCAGATGCATATAGGTGTTTATACTAAAGAAACAATGACAGGTACTATGTTCCACATTTATTGTTTCAGGTACTTGGACAGTTGTTTGTTTAACTAATATTCCACTCAAATTTAAAGTTTTGATGGGACCACTACCATGTTTTATAGCAAATATGCATTACATTTTAATGCAGATAATTACAAAAGTCAACAATGCAATATGAAAATACAGTTTCACCTTACTGAAAAAAGATGTGAATCTCTCTCATGAAGATCTAAGCCATGTCTTTGAGATGCTGTATATCAATGTACTAATATGAACTCATCTTGGTCACTTATAGCAGCACACTGCTCATGTCCTTATGAGACCTTGCTATCACCATTGGACTACTGGAGAGCTTCCAAATTGATCCAACTCTAATACTCTGTTCCAGATACCAGACTAGACCTGAAAATATATAACATGTTTCACTTAATTCTAAAAAAAGGAAGATGTAGGCAAATGAAGTTAAAATGTTTGATATGGTGATTTCAAAATAACATTCAGGTTGCAAATATGGTTAAAAAAGGTAAACTTGATAGAGTGACACTCAAAGATATGAAGCGATGGGCATGTATTAAAGTGACAAATGCATCCTAAAAATAGATGAAGTTTTTACAAGCATATTTAGCCATTTACAGGTTAAATAACTAATCAGGTAGAGTATGTATCATAAAGTTTAAGGCAATGTTGGAACGGTGAGGTTTGATCATTGATGCAAACATTGATACATACCAGTATAGTGGAAATCAAATGACAATGTACCAAATTAAAATTTATTACTATATGCAATCCTATTCATGAAGGAAAAACAATTTTAGATATTGTGAGTGAATATAGCAAAATGTGGCCACACAGATCAACTATAGGTACCATTAGATCCTATATCATCAACTAAATGTGAAATTTTCATCCCAAAAACTTGTAAACAAGGATGGATATTTGCATGTGTGGGACATATGCAATGTACTTGTTAAAATCACATGTGCAAACATGATTCAAATAATCTGTTTGAACATTTTTAGTCTATTTTTAAGAGTCTTGGCTACCAAGTTATTAAGTTCAATGATTCAATGATTCAATGGAATCAGATATCAGCTGATGCTGCAATACCGCCCTCTGTCAAAGTACTAAATTGAAATGTGTTACCATACAGAGGCATATTCATGATGAAAATAACATCTTGGGATATTTTAAGTGCACACAGTCAAAACTGAGCCTTGCAGATTCACTATAGGTACCATGTCAGCCTAACAATGTCAACTTTTGATTCCAAACATTACAAAATATATGCATATTTGTTCATGTCAGCTATGTAACCATGTTAGGATCAGTTGTAGAAAGTTAAATTCAAATAATCTGTTTGAATATTACTTATGTCATCTTTAAAGTGTCAGATAACAAGTATTATTAGTCATTAATAATGCATAAAGCAAAATGGATCATGAGAATTCCCATAATATCATCTGGGCTGCAATGTCACACTACATCAATCAACATCTTAAAGAAACTGAACAATAAAATGGAATGCATTCTGTGTTCAACTTACATCATTTTGCTGTTTTCTTACATGCAATGGTAAATATACCTGGGTAAAGTATATTTTACCCCTCTGACCTGTATTTCATTCTCTGACAGCTTAATATGATTTTGTAGAGAACTTGAACAGGTTCTAGTATAAAGTCTTCATCTCTGTCCTCTCACTAAATACCCTATAACTATGGTTATAAACAATTACTGATAGCTATACAAGCAGATATGTGTTACTCAGGAAGTCACCCCATCATAAACACATAAATTAGCTGTTTGAACCCCAAATAAATAGTTTCAATGACCTAAAGGTACAAAGCAAAGTAGAATTTTGTCTTCATGTATTTTAAATGAGGGTCTCATTTTGACTAATAAAGATATTTTCTCTGATCAAATTTGACAAATATCCATCATTTGAGCTTGTATATGGTGTAGGAGTATATATATGCTGATATCATTTAATATCATTCCCAAAAAATATTATATATGTGTATACTTGGTGGAAAATTTTTATTTTTTAATTGTTTTTTTAAATTTCATTTAAATTTTTAAAATTAAAATTATTTTTTTATTTTTAATTTCATTTTATATTTTTAAAGTCAATATACATAACCTATTAAAATTTCATGTGTATGTCATTAATAATAAAAATTTTATATCAGTTTCAAGTTTTTACTGACAGGACATAGTACACAATTAATTTCACTATATATTCTCTACATTTGTTTCTCAGTACTGAACTTTCCACTGTGTGACAATCAATACAAATCATATGTTAATCTAAACTACCTTCAAAGATGACTTTACGGTTTAGTTCTTGTCAAGGGTTGACCTGCATTTTTTTGAGAGGCTGAATTGTAAACAAAACACCAGGCAACGGAACACAGATTTCTCTTCCGGATCATCACCATGACCTTATTACTCAATGTGCACTGTCGCCGAAATACACCCAGACAACCACACCATAAGCTCACATTTTAAAGACTAATCAATTGCCTTTAAATCCTTACCAAGAATGCCAAAATCTAACTCTAGTATCACAACCAAATTTAGACCGGAAAAAGTGATCTAAAAATAGACTGGGACTATATTCGTGGGTACTGAACCAGATTTTATTAATTGTGTACTGATTCCGGATGAGACCGGTGTATTAAAATCAACCAATCAGAAAGCACGTGACAACTGATCATCTGTCGACCAATCACCAAATCAGTTCTATACAATATTGCTTTAATATAATTTGAATGACCTAAATATTATTCATCCTCACTGTAAAGCTGTTCTTATTTTGGATATCGATTTTGACATGATCAAAGTAAACTATAGCTTCATTATTCAATAATGTGCAGAGAAAATGTGAGTAACAATTGCAACCTTTGAAATCTCACTACTGTAGGCCTAGTGTATAATGAAATACTTGCGGTGTGCATGTTTCATTGGATGATGTTTTCCAGGTATAATCCGCAACATCCCATGTGAGAGGCAGATGTTCTAACCATTTAGATCACTGAGGTGCTCTTTTATGATTTGATATGATGTTCTTAGAGATATGTTCATTTTTCAGCACAATCATTGAGGACTTAATGTGACTCATGAAATAAATTTCATTCTATAGAAAAGACATGGGTGTATATTACTATGCTTATGTTAGTATGAATGACACCCTTGTGTAGCAGATGAAAAAGTACATTACAATAATAAATTTTCTCAAAATTGACCTAAAATCCTAATTTTGATCACAGATGTGTAGAATGACAGAGAGGATCCAATGTCAGAACGGGTCATGGAGGTAATCAGGTATTTTTGTCACTGACTTTTCTTAACATTATTGTTTTTGCATTTTTTAACATCAAGCTTGCATCGAGCACCTGGGATTTTGATGTTTCCTTTTGTAAAAGTTGAGCAGTCTAAGATTATAAGAGCAGTTGAGCAGTCTAAGAGTTTAGCAGTCTAAAAGTTGAGCAGTCTAAGAGTCTAAGAAAGCAGTCTAAGAGTTTGAACTTAAGTTGTATTAATATATAGTGAGTGTGACACATCAAATTAAAAAGGACTATTACTTAATTGGTAAAAGCTGCAAGTCAGCATCCATTGTAAAATTAAACAAAAGGACATTGAAAGACAGCTTGAATGTTTCTGAGAGCATTCATTATCATATCCAGGGAAAGTAGCAGGTGGAATGACCAAGAAGAAAAGCCTATTCTGTAAAGGCATCTATTGATCCAAATTAAATTCTACATAAAAACATTCAAAACAGACATTAAGACTTATTTCATCCTTAAATTTGGAAAACACTTAGTAACTAATCATTGTTGAGATCTGACTGTTACCTTCATGAGGTAAGATGGCCTTTGTTTACACAAGTCCTGCAAAATAATTTTAAAAGACCTTTATGTTTTGAAGGTAAAATTTATCCATGTGTCAGTATGATTTTGAACAAAATGTATTTTAATGTGAATATGATTAGAATTCAATCTGCCTATTAGATTATTTACATTTTCAGGGCATGAAATTATTTCAGATTTTCAAATATATACTTTCTGATGGTTATTATTTTTCATTTTTTAAACAAATATTGTTCTCAGTCTTTAATGTCTAAAAAAGCAAGGGTTTAATTTGAATTGGGATGCTTGCATTTTCAAAAATATTTGTGTATTGTCACTGAATCTCTTATTGTTATGCTTAATTATAAATATTCTTTGTTATTTTTCTACATGCTGCTTACGTTTTGATTCTTCGTTAAATTGTATCTCATTCCAGAATAACAGCTTTTAAGTATGTTTGAGTTTTGAATAACTTACATATGCATATTACATTTATACCTATATGGTTTGTGTCTGTATGTGATTTAGATTTTTAACATAGCTTTAAAAATTTTTCAGTCATATTGCTACAATGTCTGTAGTGAGACAGTTTATAGTGATGTCTAGCTTTGGGGCATCTAGCCACAGACATGTAGCATGATGCCCTTTCCAGTCACATTATCCTGATACCAGGCCAAAAAGTCCTAACACTAACCTCTTAGTGCTGAACATCAAGCAAGGCAGCTGTTGTTACCATTTTTGTACATCTTCGGCCAGGATTTGAACCGGTGACCTCCCACATCTGAAGCAGATGTTCTAACCACTAGGCCACCAGAGTTGTCTTATATGGTTTTTGTAAGAAATATACAAGACTATAGTTAGAGGATATTTTCTTATTTTATATTAATATCTAGTATATTTTTCTTCAAATGGTTCAAAAAGCCATAACCTAAAATGTAAATATTTGTACCACAACATCAAATAAATCTGATATTTGGGCAGAAAAAAACCTTTCCTTTAATTATATTCTTCACTTGCTTCAAAAAGCATTGAAATTAAGTTGTTGTCATCACACATCATCTGACCATATTTTTGTAAGGTTCATACAGATTTCCATCGCATTTATTGGATGATCATAAAACAATTATCTAAAAAATACCATTGATTTTTTAAAAGAGTAGGTTTGGAATGAATGGCACCAAATAATGTCCATGTCTGAAAGGTAGTACAGTTTTTATTTGTTGCTCAAGCCCATAAAATATTAGTTTTGTTTTGTAAAAAATAAAACTTCTAGGTTACACACAATCACATTTTACAGGACATTATGCGAAATACTGTATTCTCTCATGTTAAACTATAGCAGTTTTTTCACATGTAAACTCATAGGACTTAGAAACATGAAAAAATGTAACCACTAATTTTCTATATTTCATACTTATATATACATTAATAATAAGCAGCAGTTTTGATAGTGCAAAGAGTGTCCATTAGGAAAATGAATTGATGGATCAAATATTCTTGCACAACATGATGCTAAGTACAGTCAGATGTCATTGTTCAGCTTAATTATTCTTAATTGTATGATGAAAAATGTATTCAACATCTTTTTCAAATGTCTTGTTTATTCATTGTTTAGGTTTATCATACATTTAGTTGTCATTGTATGAGATATGATGTAATGAATACTCTTGACATGAAATTTTAGCAGTTGTTTGTAGTCTGAGTGAAAAATATGGCATAGTTTCTTCAAAAGACTAATACCCCCTTCTAATTCTTGACACTGTACAGCATTGTTTGGATTAGAAAATAAAGCTAGTTAAATCCATAATACAAATACCTTAAATTAAGACTGAATACTTATTTCTACATATTTAGACTAGTTTTCACATAATAAGTAATTTTCAGATTTGATATCATATTTGCAATTTAGAACATGGCCTTTTGGGTATTAATATATGGTTAACTAGGCAAATTAAATTTTGAAGGCTATTGATCTTACATTTACAATGAAAATAAAATTCCAACTCGGAAGGAATTGCTTTGTCTGCTTATACTGCAGATTGTTTAATGCATTGAATTAATGATATTGAGATTGGTCATTTTGTTATGTATTCCTGCAACAATGCAATCATATTGTACATTTCTATATGAGACACAACTTTTGTAGAACCTTCGTTGGTACAAACTTGCCAAAGTGATCACTTTAATGTAGTGTTCATGTGCTTCCATACATCCATCCAAGTCCTAGATCACCCTCAAAGATAATTGATTTTCACTCCATTTTATTTCAGTCCCATTTTACCTTGTTCAAAGATTGCAGAGGGCTTGTACTTAAAGGACGGAAAGGGTTTATTATTTTTTGGATTCAAAGGTAAGGGTGATTGTGACTCAGAAACATTAGTCTTGTTGAATAACTTTTTTTTCCAGATGAAGTTCCTTTACCAAACCAAGATATTCTGGTCATAATGGTCAAAGGTCATGGTTCTGGTAAGACTGGTAAGAAAATAACGGTTTTAGTACCAAATATTAAAGTTTTGTACAAAACCACATACTTTGACTGAAGATTCAGATTATTCTGAACTTTTAAATTGTAATCTTTGTTTTGCATTTTTTTGCAGCATAAAGGTTTTTAATTAAAACAATGATCAAATTAAGATTATGATCAGATAGGATTCAGTTTATGCATGCATACAGGTACTAGTTAAACTTTTAAAGTTTGTGGATGGAGGGAAGGGAGTTAAATTTACTGCAGCCTGATATGTGGAGCACATATGCACAAGTTATCTGAGAGACAGACCTGCCACCCCTTAGGATTTTTACATAATTCTTAGGAAAGTGACATTTAAAATATGGCCGTATGGAATAAAAGGAACAACAATGGAAATATGATTGTTGCAGTAAAATCTGGAAATAGCAAGTACTTTTAAAAAGTTTAAATAAATAATTCAGAAGAATAGAAAGGAATATGCAGAGTGTTCTGCATAAAAGCAGGAAAAGACACATTTACATTTATTGGGCATTATGTGTGGATTTGATTATGTCACATGGTTGGAGATAAGATTGTTGTCAATTGAAATGGAGAACAAGTTCCAAGAATTATATCAGCATGAGAGATTACAACAAGCCATTGAGTTGCATATGGTTCGGAATTGAAGTTTATACAACTGTACTAGAGGTAAATAAAATGTATCTGTACATTACAGATTTTTCAGATGAATGTAATGTTGGCAACCGATGCAGAAGTTAGGAATATCAAGCTTTTTAAATACATGTTTTTCATCTTGACAAAAGCAGTACATGATATTTTGTTGCATGTAACATAAATCTGGTCAGAATGATGAAGCAAAAAATCCGATGCCTTACTGATATGAACTTGATAAGGTTGGTGGCAAAGATAATAAGTTGTAATATAATGCATCACATTTTTTCACATTGATCATCTTTGAGTTTCATTCTAGATTTTAGACACATGTATATGAAATAATTGAGGGTTTTAAGTTCAGTTGTTTGCATAGATACATTTTCTAACAGTGGTCCTGAGTGGCCATGGGGTCTAAAGCACTCACTGCTGCAGATCATTGCCATATCATCTCTGTTTGCTTGGGTTTGAGTCTCTGGTTGAGACAATGTGGGTATCTGAAAGCTTGCCATAAACTCTTCATGGAATGGTGGTTCTTTCCAGGGATTTTTCCAGGTTCTTCCTCCATCATTTGTATTGGCAGCCACGCATAGCCTATCTTGTGCTGAAAATGCATATTTTTAACACCTAAGGAATATAAAGATCACAAGGCAGATTGCAGGTGCAAAGATTGCTATATTTCAGGGAAATATTTAAGAAGCAACAAGTCTGCCCAAAAGAACCATAAAATGGCTGGCTTGCATTTTGACAGTATAGATCAGATCATGTAATTCATGGGTTTGCCAGACAAACCTGGTACTCATGCAGACAAGGATCTTGGGACAAGAGGTGGATTCTAAACATTAAACCAACTCCATCTCTATGGTTTGTTACTAGGGAATGACATCCTGCGATATAATTTATCCAGTGTGGATGGAGAGAAAGAATAACAGATCTCTGAGCTAGTATATTGATGAAATAAAACAATGAGCCTCCCTTTAAATGAACAAATATAAAATTTAATCAATTTAACAATATAATTCCAAATGGAAAGAAATCCAATCAATTTCTCCTACTGCAGAAAAAAAGAGAAAATGTACGAACATGTACACAATAAAAGCAAAGACAAATTTCACTGTACTATTAATTGTCAGTGACATAATTAATATAGAGTTTCAACATAGCCTACAAGTTGTGACTTTGAGTTCAACGCTGAATCTTTATCCGGACATCAAATTTTCTGTTCCTCCTGCACTTCCAGCCTTTGTCTAATCATTTTAGACGATGGACCCTTGCCAGTTCAAACTTAAATGATTTGATGATAGTATCTCGAATCTAGAACTGGAATTCGGCTGTGGACCTTCCTGAGGAATTTTCCGCTGAAGGAATTTTCCGACAAAATGGCTGAGGAAGCTGTTTCCTTAAATAGATAAAAATGTCTATATATATATATATATATATATATATATATATATATATATATATATATATATATATATATATATATATATATATATATATATATATATATATATATATATATATATATATATATATATATATATATATATATATATATATAAATATATATATATATATATATATATATATATATATATATATATATATATATATATATATATAATCCAAAATCAGATGGTATCTTGCTAATTCTGTCTTAAGTAATTCACTCACTCAATAGTTCTCTGTTTACAAAATGGAAGCGGCCATTACATGTATACTGACCTTAATTCAGGTTCAAGAGCTTAGTAGCTACCAATTTGTTTGTATGTGCCCGTATTTAACACCCCATGACTTCTTTACATTAAGCTATTTAATACAGTGTAGTGTTAAATTATATATGGCTTAGCCGATCAGATCTAACTATTCTAAAATAGTTTATGTGGTCAATTAAATATTACGAACTAGTATATGAATATACACTCAATACATGGCATGCTACACAAAGATTTAATTCATAAATCTATTAAACATTATCCATCATGTATCAGGGTGAATTCATGCAATTTCTACACATTCCTATGTATTGAATATTCAGTTACAGGCAATCTTGTCAATTCTCTCAATGAATTGATAATTAGAAAATCAAAGAATAAAATGTTGTGACATTTTGCTAAAACCCTGACAAATGAAACCATACATACATACATCAAAACATCAATACATTTGCAAATAAATCAACAAATGAAATAGTATCTTAAAATTTGAAAACTAAGATTGCTTACCTTTGTTGTTTTATTCGTTTTCCCACGAACTTCCAATGTATAGTCTGTCTACTTTCTGAGACAACTAACTCGCCTTTCTTCAGTCATGAGGAAACATACTACTTGTGTTCGTCCCCCAGAATCCTTCTCTAACTTCTTACAAACAAGATTGAAGACTGAAGCAATTTTGCAAAGTACAGCTAATATTGTCTTACAATGTTTATGCCTTTAAGTTTCCCTTAGCCAATCAGACTTGACTGGTTCCTAAAATTTCCTATGTCGAATATTTGATTAACAAGACATGGCTAATCATGCCACAATTAACTTTCCTTTGAACAATCAATTATTGACATGTTTGCCCCTTTTACTGGTGCAAGTTTGAAGAGTGTTTTGCCAAAACCTTTGTACCATAACAGATGAATCAGTCAAATTTTATGGAGCAAAACCAAGTTTTCTTTGACGTTCAGAGATGAAATCAGAATAATCATAGAAGTG